ATTTTATAACCCCCTTTTTACATTTCTCGGGAGTCCAAAGAGAGAGAGAAAAAAAAAACACCCCCTTTTTAAAGAAATCTCCGGGTGAAAAGTCAAATACACCCCCTTTTTTTTTAATTCTCGGGCGGATTTTGTCGCGCGAAAAAGTACTCCTTTTCTGGAAATTTTAGGAACGCGCATAGGGTCCCTCCGACCCCGGAGTGTTGGGGGGGGGGGGGTAGATGAAGACTGAAGTTCCAGACCTGGCGTGTTCAAGACTTACAGTGGCCGTTTGTCTCTTCAGTTATTTCAAGGTAAGCCTGTACACATTCTTATTATTTTTATATTTGAGAAAGGATTTGGCTGAGGAAATTAAAGAATTCATTAGATTTAATCAATAAACACAGTACATGTATCATTATATGAATTCCAGAAACATTTTTTAAGAGGTGTGAAAACTGTGAACGCATCTGATTGAGAGTGATAAATAATACGGTAACTGTTGCATTGCCCAAGTCCTACTCGGTCGTTGTCATTTGTTCACACCTAAAACTTAAGGGACGAGGGGATGATATTTAAGGGCTGCAATGCACGTGATGTTTGGGTAGGTCTATGAATGAATTAATTTGTTATTTATATTGAATGAATTGAATTGAATTCACAGAAATAGGGCTTAATAAGAGTCGAAAACGGTGCAACCAATCGTCTTCTTTCTATAATAATTAAATCAAACGTCTATGCTTTTCGCGCTTCACGCGGGAAGGGGGAAACTGAATTCAGACAAGGATTAAGAGTCGAGAACAGTACACCCAATCGTCTGCTTTCTCTAATAATTTAACGAAACGTCAAAGCTTCCGCGCTTCGCGCGAGAGGGGGAAACTGAATTCAGCTAAATAGGGCTTAATAAGAGTCGAAAACGGTGCAACGAATCGTCTCCTTTCTATAATAATTAAATCAAACGTCTAAGCTTTTCGCACTTCGCGCGGGAAGGGGAAACTGAATTCAGACGAGAATTAAGAGTCGAGAACAGTACACCCAATCGTCTGCTTTCTATAATAATTTAAGGAAACGTCAAGGCTTCCGCGCTTTTGCGCGAGAGGGGGAAACTGAATTCAGATAAATAGGGCTCATTAAAAGTCGAAAACGGTACAACGAATCGTCTGCTTTCTCTAATAATTTAATGAAACGTCAAAACTTCCGCGCTTTGCGCTTGAGGGGTAAACCGAATTCAGACAAAGATTAGGAGTCGAGCACGGTTTAACAAATCGTCTACTTTCTCTAATAATTTAATTAAATGTCAATGCTTTCGCGCTTCGCGCGGGAGAGAGAGGGAAAAACTGAATTCATACGAGGATTAAGAGTCGAGCACGGTTCAACGAATTGTCTACTTTCTCTAATAATTTAATGAAACGCCAAAACTTCCTCGCGGGAGGGGGGGGGGGGAACTTCATTCAGACCAGGGTTAACAGTCGAGAACGGTACAATAAATCATCTTCTTTTCCTAATAATTCAAGGAAACGTCTAAGCTTCCGCGCTTCGCGCTCCGTAGGCCTATCACCCACACCCCCCTAATGAGCGCGCTTCGCGCGCTCTTTGAGTGATTCGCCTGCTCACTACCGCCCCTTCCTAAAATGAGATCCTAGCTCCGCGCCTGCATTAAAATATATAACTATGATGCTGACTAAGTTGACGAAATAATTCGTATAATGTATTTATGTCGTCGAGGAAAATGACCATTTGCGCATACGCAAGTACTATAGATAGTTCGTAGGAAAAACAATTTAGTCTTCGGCCCCAGGTATATAGGGTTAAATTTGTAAATATTGGGACATTTAATTTTGTCGGTAATTGGGGGCTAGTTTTGTCGGTAATCGTTGGCCTCTAACCCCCCCCCCCCCCACTAAAAAAGTTCTAGCGAAGCCCCTGACCATTATACATCATTTTCTAAGCGATGGGACTCAAACAATATAAAGAGTTCGCATCTTCCTGACGAAATACTCAATCTTTATGTTACTACTTGAAAGTGTGTCGTCTTATTTCGGAGTTCATTAGTACAATAAAACACTACAGTTTGCAGCTGTCAGTATTTCGAAATATGTCCAATTCTTTTACTTTATGGTTGTCAAATTTGGCATGTGCGTGCATGTATGTATGCATAAATTTATGTACATGTGTTTGGGTATGTGTGTGTTTGTTGTTTGTTCGTTTGTGTGTGTGTGTGTGCGTGTGCGTGTGTGTGTGTGGGTGTGTGTGTGTGTGTGTGCGTGTGTGTATGTGTGTATGATGCGATACCCAGGTTATGGAAGGATGATTCAGGGTTAATAGAATTCCTCGAGGTTGATTTGATAGGCTTTAATACTTATTTCCATATTTCTAGTAAAAAAATACAGTTTGTGGATGTGGGTTCAAGAACAATCTATGATTATTTCATCAAAGCACTGCAACGAACGTATGATTTGCAGGTAAGGGATGGGCAAAATGATTATGATTTTATAGATAAAGAATTAAAAGAAATATTTGTTAGACCAAGAATTACTATACTCATTAGAAAACAACGTGAATTTCAATTTAAATTATTGCATGGAGCCATATACACTAATGAGCATCTTCATAGATTTGGTTTTGTTGGTGATAATTTATGTTCGTTTTGTAAGCAGGAAATAGAAACATACAAACATTTATTTTTATCTTGTGGGAGCGTTCAAAGGTTATGGCAGGCTTTAATACTACTTTTTGAGTTAGATGAAATTAAAGATTTAGAATGGCGAGATATATTTGTTGGGTTGGTAGGTAGTTCATATAGAATAAAAATGTGTAATACTATCATTTTCATGGTGAAGTATGTTACATTTATGTCAAGATCGGGGGGGGGGGGGGCGAGTACTAACTTTAGAAAAGATGAAAAAAAGCATTTTTAAGTATAGGGATGAGGAAAAGAAAATAGCGATTAAAATGGGAAAGCTAGGATCACATTTTTTAAAGTGGGAGCAGCTTAAGATTAATTAAGATTTGCTTTCTTCTCCACCGTGAGCTTGTTAAAAGCGTAACTCGATTTTGCGGCCTGGATAACTTATTTAGTATATTTTTCTTAAGTTGAGAATGTTGGCAGACATCCACTGAGTGAGTACTGTGTGTGTGTGTGTGGGGGGGGGGGGGGGGGTGGGTGGGTGGGTGAGTATGTGTGTGAGTGGGTGAGTATGTTTGTGTGATAGAGGGTGAGTATGTCTGTGTGATGTAGGGGGCAGGGAGGGGGCAGGATTGTTTCAGTAAAATTATCTCCAGATTTGTTTTTTTTTGTAATATATAAGTAAATAACATTTACAATTGACATATTATGTTTAGGTACTTATACGTTTACTTTGTTGTTAAGTTATATTATACTGCAAATAAGTTTGTGTTTAATTATGTTTATGTAAAAGCATCAATATTGAACACGTTTATTTTATTCAATTGTATGTCATGGTTTGTATTACACATCTGGAGAAATAAAACAAAATTGTTTAAAAAAAAAATTTAAAAAAATGTGTGTGTGTGTGTGCCCTGTGTGTTTGTGCGTGCGTGATCGCGCGCGCCTGCGTACATTAGTGTGGGCGTGTGCTCGTGCTAGTACATGTATGTGATGGCTATCGCCGATCATCCCCCCCCCCCCCCACTCCTCGGTACGGATTTACGCCCCTGATCCAGAGGATATACTATTTTTACGACAAGTGTACTAAAGGTATGCAACTTGGATTTGAAAGGGGCACGGACCAATCGCCCCAACACCGGCTCCCAAATCGATCACCATCACCATCGTTATACTAGTTCCCATCCCCTCCGGCACCTCGATCCAGGCGCGGATCCAGGATTTCTTAGGGGAGGGGGCCCAACTTTTTTTTTTTTTTGCTCCCGAAAATTTGAAAATCGCGCCGGCCGAAAAGTCGCTCAGTTGGGGGGGGGGGGGGGGGGGGGAGTACAGAGCACAATTTTTTATTTTTTTTTATTTTTATTTTTATTGCTTTTTTTAAATTTTTTTTTTATTTTATTTTTTCTCAAGGGGGGGGGGGGGGGGCCGGGCCCCCCGGGCCCCCCCTGGATCCGCCACTGCCTCGATCTCTAGCTCCCTCACTCAAATCTCTCTTTTTTTTCTCTCCAGATCCAGTCTCTCGCCCTATCTCGACTATCGGATGACATTTTATGATTTTAACAATAATGATAGCGCTTACACCATTTTAGGTCTAAAATCTTATTCTTCACTCTTCACGTCACATGTCGAAACTTTATGTCTGGGCCTTATTGATGGTGTCGGGGATGATGTAAGTCAATAAAATCCTTGAAAGTTGAAATGGTATTTTTTCCATATCATATTTACGTGTATTGTTCAAATAATTAAACGTGTGTATGTCGGTTAACCTCTAACTTTAATGTAAAACAATATAACACCCTGACATAAAGTTAAGGCATGCGACCTTAATATGAGAGTAAAGAGCAATATTTCAGCTTTAAAATGATGTAAGTCATTTTAAGTGAAAATGTTATCTGATAGGTTTAGGTTGGAAAGGTTAGATAGGTTAGATATTGTATATTTTGTCCATATTAACGTGTATTGTCCGAATAAACAGTGTAGGTCTTATATGCCGGTTTAACCCCAAATTCAATCTGAAACAAATAAGACACAGACATAAAGTTTCGGCATGTGACATATCATTTTGTTAATGACAGTACATGTTGTTGTTGTTGTTGTAATTGTTGTTGCTGTTGAGATTTAAATGCATGGCGCACTTCAAAGTTCAAATCAAAATTCTAAGATATTGTCTCTACCACAAACTTTCCGATACAATTAGTCAGAATGAATCATTCGAATATCAACAATGTTTCAGCTTTGACATGGTGTAGGTTATTATCTAGGCATTCGATAGCTTTAAAAAAACAACATTAAAATGTAGTCTCTTACTCCAGTTAATTGCTTGGACGTTTTGGAGACACTATATACCCCCCCCCCCCCCCCACTACCTTGATTGGTCGCACGTACGCGCTATTGGTCGATAGTTTCAGCGAGCGATTTGTTATATAACTTGCAAAGATGTCGGCTCTTCTGAAGCATCCTCTACAGCTAGGCCTATACCACACCCTTGTCACTACGCACCTCCCCATTCGACATCTCAGAATTTCAGGTTTGTGTCTAGCTTTAAAAGTGAATCATTTAAGTGCAATGTTTTAAGTACGATGTTTTAATGGTCTGCATCTGTATGATTTGTATACGTTTGTCACATACTGTAGTCCCAGACATTGAAAACGATGCAACGTTACATACAAAGCTTTTGGCTTTGGCCTTAGATCTAGATCTAAATAAAACATGTCAGTTATATCATTCAGTTGGCATGTGTAATATCAATGCAGACTTGATGGGGACAAAACGTAGCCCATAAAAACAGTTTACACATACACTGTATGTAGTCTTATAGTTATTTATAGATTCCTTTTCTAGATCTAGACTTTTTCAACCTATTTTTCATCCAATTGGCAACTTGAAATCGGTCCCTATCGCTAACTTAGATCTACTCTCCGTTTCGCACCCGGCCATATTAATTTGTGGGTTTTTACTTACATATATTTGCTACATGGTAATTAGATCTAGGTATGGATCAAGTTTTTGTAAGACCAAATTTGTGTAGGGTCCTACTACATCGAGTATAACGCAAAGATTCAGCATGCACATGCGTTGACCAAGAAGAAATGCACATGATCATGAAGACACGATGATGAATACAAAGCGGCTCTTTGCCAGGATTGACAATAGAGTTCCAATTTTAATTTTTTTTTTTTTCAAACATCAGTGATCGAGCTGAATTGATTGTATTTTACTGCTATTGAAGTTTGGTAATTACAAGAGTCTTGGTACAAATGTGAATCTGAAATCTAATACAAATTGGTAACTTTGTGTTTCATTTTTAGAGCAACTATTTTGAACTTTAAATTTTCCAAAGATAAGATTCTATCACACCTGTGCCATAGCCCATACATTAATATTATTAGACCCCCCACCCCCCCCCCCCCCTCCCTCCTCTTGCTGCCTCCCCATTAATTAAATTTCTTCACCAACAATGAGGGGATCATTCTGAAAATTAGTGAAAATATGACTGGGGATTTTGAAATTAAATTAAGGTATTATTTATGAGAAGATAAACAGATATACAATGATTCTGGTGTTATTTATGCTATTTTTTTTTTTACAAGTGATGAAGACATCAACCAGATGAAGTTATATATATATATATATATATATATATATATGCCATCTGATTGATATAAATGTAATGTGTTGTAAATGCATTTAAATTTCCAGCATCTGCATGGACAATAGCTTCAAGGGAGAGCAGTATTCCTCAGAGGTACATAGGACAGCCTACCTCATACACCCACCAGCACCTCCTGAGAGATGATGAGATCACACCAGGTATTACCGCCCAGGAGTTCAGGGGTCGCAGGCACAACCTCATGTCGGGCATCAAGAAATCAATGTACAGTGACTGCCCTCACCATGTCGCCGTGATCCTTGCTGCTGACACCAAGTACATGACCGACGAGATACCATACCCATTCCGTCAGAACACAGACTTCTTGTACCTCTGTGGTTTCCAGGAACCTTCAAGTGCTTTAGTCCTGGAGAGCATTGCAGGGAGTCCACTCCCAGATCATAAAGCAACTGTCTTTGTCCCCCAGCGAGATGCTGATAGGGAACTCTGGGATGGCCCGAGAGCGGGCATCGATGGAGCACTTAGCTTCATAGGAGTAGACGAGGCCCATGTGATCAGTGACTTGAGTGAGTACTTGGATCAGTATGCCAGCAGGGAAAAGCTTGTTGTTTGGTATGATGTCTTCAGGAATGTTAACAGCCACCTGCACAAGGATGTCGTCAGTAATCTTGTGACCCCATGCCGGAACAAAGGCCACGCTGTGAACATTCTACAGCAACTCATGCATTCCATCCGGGTCATCAAATCCCCTGCAGAAATCCAACTGATGCGTGAGTCCTGCAGCATCGCATCTCAGGCCTTTGTTGATGTGATGCGCTTCACAAAACCAAACATAAACGAAGCCAATCTGTATGCAAAAATGGACTTTGAGGTTAGATTGAATGGGGCAGAGTTCCTTGCATATCCTCCGGTTGTTGCTGGGGGTAACCGTGCTAATACATTGCATTACGTGAAGAACAATCAGATTGTACTCGGTGGAGACATGGTGCTGATGGATGCTGGATGTGAGTACCATGGTTACGCAAGCGATATCACCAGAACATGGCCAGTCAGTGGAAGGTATTCAGATTTAAACATGTTGCAGCCCGATGTATGTTGTTACATTTGTTCCCAACTTCCTGTAGCTTCCGTTTATATTCAGGCCTGATAATTACCCAATTTAAATCGGTTTCCCAATTATTTATTTGTTTTTTCCAGAATTTGTTTTCTCTTTTTTTTCCCCCGATTATTATTTATTTATTTTTTTTCTTTCCGATTTTACCAAGATTTTTCCCTTATTTTTCCTAATATTCCTGATTTTGTCTGATTTTCTTACTCAAAAGGGGGGAATTTTTTGTTAGATGCCATTTTTTCCCCCAAATCCTTTCTCTTTTTTTTTACTCAAGAGGGGAGTGGTCAAGGGAAAACCCCCCCCCCTTTTTTTTTTTAAGTGCTCACTATCACCCTTGTATATTGTCTGATTTGGGCTTTCTGTTCATTCTTGCGCTTTACTCTGATGTGTGCAAAACGAAAGGCTTTAGTACATGTATGCCTGTCTTGGTAAATATATAATATTTCTGATATGTGATCACTTAAATTTTCTTGAACTAGCTTTGCATGTATTCCGTATTGATGTCAAAAGATGTTGGAAAATCAAGAAAATGTTTTTTTTTAAAATGATTTGATGATTAATGCAATTCTGCATGCTTTTTTATATGAGCAAGTCCATCGTGATATAAGTGTTCCTATGGGTAGTTATATTGGAATGTGATATGTTTCTCCGGACTCTAAAATCATTAAAAGGTATTCTTATTTAATCAACTATCATATACATGTATTTTTTTGTTGAAAATAGAAATCTGAAAGAGATATAGGGCGACTGTAGTAAATATAGTATACTTACTGTTATCGTTACACTCTAAATCCCCACTTAATACCTGCAGATACACTGAAGCCCAAGCCAGCCTCTACCAGTCTGTCCTAGATGTTCAGCAGGAGTGCCTGGACATGTGTGAAGTAGGAACCACACTAGACCAGATCTATCATCGCATGCTCAATGGACTGGGCCAGAAACTCCAGGATCTTGGCATTGTGCCAAAGTGGATGAATAATGCGGAGCTGATTAGGGTGAGTGTAGCATCTTTAAATAATTTGAATCATATGCTTTTGTTACCGAAGGTGGAAAAGGGGGCTTTTTCAGGATGCCCAGTTTTGTGCTTATTTTCTTATCATGATTTCTTGCATTTACTTCAGATTTTTTCCCCTTCAATTATCATGATCTGTAGGCTTGAATTTTAGACTTCTTTGCATTATTGGGAGATGACTCCATTGTAGTTGTAATTTCCAAAGCTCTTTGGAAGCACTTAGAGACAATTAATGTGATATGCGCTAAACAAGAACTGAATATTAATTAATTAATATTAGTTAATGATATTGGCTAAAGTCACAGTTACATTTACATGAAGAAATAAAATTGTAATAGTACCCTAATCTATGGTTTGCAATATTTTGTTCTATTTTGCAATTTTGGGATTAGTCAGATAAAGAACAAGCCACACAGATTCTGCCCCAGTAATATTAAAAAGAAGGAAAGCACAGGTGTAAGTGTAGTGGTTTGTCATATATAAAACCTTATCATTATTTTTAAAGGGCAGCATATCTTATGATTGTAGTAGACATGATGATGATTTCTCCTGTAGTCTTCAAAGAGCTACAATTGAGATGTATGATAATATGATTATTTATATATTTTGTGTTCAAAATTGATAGGCAGCCAAGAAATACTGCCCTCATCATGTGGGACACTACTTAGGGATGGACACGCATGACACTCCTCAGGTATCCCGTAGCAACCAGCTGCAGGCAGGCATTGTCATTACAGTCGAACCAGGTAAAACATCCACAAAAATGATGCCAAGTCTGTTGATAAATCTGTTGCCAAATCTGTTGATATCCCTCGGATAGGACATTAAATGGAAGACCCATGTAGAGGAGAGTCACCACCTTCGCACATTAAGAACCCACTGCACTATTTGTATAAGAGTAGGGGGACACCCTGTTGTAGTGGTCCACCTGCACACCCCCAATCAGTTCTACCGGGAGGAGAGACCCTAGGGTTACAGTGATTCAGTTTGCTTTTGGCCTCCCAGGCACAGGTAACGCCAAATTAATAATAATAATGATAATAACAATCATAATAAAAGCTACCGGTACTCAAAGTAAATGATTGAATGGACTCTGTAGATATAGAGGTGAGACCCAAGGGTTACAGTGATTCAGTTCGCTTTTCGCCTCCCAGGCTCGGGTGATGCCAAATACATAATAATAATGATAATAATATTTAGCTTCACGTGGTACTGTCTCACTCAGTATAATAATTCAACATGTTCAATACCTCTCTTTAGAAATCTAGCCATCTTATTGATCGAAATTGGAGTCAAGAATTTAGCCATGCCCCGCCCACCAGTTAATAGTCTTTTAAAAGATGCCCGCATTCCCGCCTACCGGTTAATAGTCTTTTAAAAGATGCCTGCATTCCCACCTACCAGTTAATAGTCTTTTAAAAGATGCCCGCATTCCCGCCTACCGGTTAATAGTCTTTTAAAAGATGCCTGCATTCTCACCTACCGGTTAATAGTCTTTTAAAAGATGCCCGCATTCCCGCCTACCGGTTAATAGTCTTTTAAAAGATGCCCGCATTCCCGCCTACCGGTTAATAGTCTTTTAAAAGATGCCCGCATTCCTGCTTACCGGTTAATAGTCTTTTAAAAGATGCCCGCATTCCCACCTACCGGTTAATAGTCTTTTAAAAGATGCCTGCATGCCCCGGTTAACAGGCCTCATAAATAAATTAGGGGTCGTGACAGTATGTGCACATCCCCTTGAGCCTGTAAAACAGCAAGGCCTGTCATAGCAGTCGATATATCTATACTTTCCTTGTCAATTCTCTACGAATAATGATAGTAACATGTCAACCAACAAAATGTAAAAGTTCATTGTACAGATTTATGTTGAATGCAAGTACAAAAATTAGGCCCAACTGTTTGGATTGTACAAATAATTATTACACATCAGATCATTTTCTCTTGTTCTCTTTCTCACCCTCTTTCTGTTTTCTATATCTCTTTCTCTCCCTCTCTCACTTTCTCTCCCTCTCTCTCTTTCTCTCCCTCTCTCACTTTCTCTCCCTCTCTCACTTTCTTTTATGACTCTCAGGACTGTACCTCCCTGCGAGTGACAATGACATACCCCAAGAGTTCCGAGGGATGGGAATCCGAATTGAAGACGACGTGTTGATCACAGACAGAGCTCCTGAAGTACTCACTGCAGAGTGTCCAAAGGAAATGTCCCTCATAGAAAGTATAATGGGGGGAAATTTATGACGTAGCAGACACTGAATTGAAACTTACGAGCAATAATAAATTGAATATCATTATGAGCACCAATGTATTTATGAATTGTCTTTTCCATCCTTTACTTTATTTCATATAGTATTAAGAAAGAACAGATTATCCATTGGTTTGTTTTTATTAGATCTAACATTTTCATGTTCTGCCCATCATCACAATGACATCTATGCAATAATTTTTTTCTACCATAGTAGATAAGGACAAATTTTCGGAGTTCAGGTGGCCAGCTAGGCTCCCTCCGGGGTTCAGGCAGCGCCCTTTGGATTTCAGAGAATTACACAAGATGTACTAGGGTCACTTGGGGGCTAAAATTCACTTCTGGGGTAGTGATAGGTCAGTGTTTATTGTTTTTCCAAGATAAAATATAAAAGAGCAACAGATTTTCTTATAAATTGTTGGATGAAGATAAGTGAAAAATATAAACCAATCATCGACCTTACTACTGGTTACGAACTTTAACAGCTCTCTAAGTTGCCAGATTTGTTTTTAAGATCTGGTGAATATTTCATCTCTGGGGGTGTTTCATAAAGCTGTTCGTAAAGTTACGCATGACTTTACGAACAACACAACTTGAATATGAAATGCCAGATAGGATGCCCAAAGTGAGACCATATTTCTAATAACCTCAATTAAATTATGGCAAAAAATATACTTTGTATTATTTGATGCAGTTAAAAAATGATTGAGCATCCCATTTGGCTTTTCATATATCAGTCGTTGATAAAGTCATGCGTAACTTTACGAACGGCTTTATGAAACGCCCCCCAGGTGTCATTCCTTGATGCATCATTTGCTTGTGAGTCATTAAATTGTTCAAACTAGAGGTACTCATACTTGCTCTTTCCTTTAATAGTCCTCTCCCTACTATTGAAAATACCCTTTCACAATCCACATTGCTGTGAAATATTGTCTATGCCATCTCTATGACCGATTCAAGCAGTGAATATGGTCTTAAATTTCTGCTCAGTGACATCTTGAGTTTGGCTCAGTTTGGACCATTGAGCATTAATTCTGCTTTCAGGGTTGCAAGAGATGTCAATGTCTACCTCAGATATTTTGGAAACTGTTCTTCATTTTTATCCCGCTTTTCCTTGTAGATAAACTTAAATCTCTTTACAAAGTAATCCATGGAAGCATGGAATTAGTTTTTTCTATGATGACCTTTGGGCATGTGCCTGGATTTTGTAATTTACTTCGTTCTGTGCAATTAAAATGATGCAATGCCAGTCTTAGTAAACTGTAATAGGAAGGGGAAAGATTTCTGAAATTTTCATCCTGAATCATTCCCACTGGCACTCAGAAATGTTGACTCTGTCAGCTATTAAAGAGATGAATATATTTGGTGGAAAATTAGGCCTGATATGACTTGAATTAACCCTTTTTGACAAGTAATCATTATTTAAACTTTCTTCATATTTTTGCGTACAATTTCAAGCTAAAAATCTAAGCTACACAAATGCATGTCAAAAAAACATTTCCTATGAACATACGACATTCTAGGTATTTAGCCTGTGATCTTCAACACACTTACTAACACAAAACACAAGATTCAGCTAGAAAATAGCAATCCTTAAATTTAGGGTCATGTCCGATAATACCATAAATTGACCTTTCATCATCGGTACTACTCATCCTACATGTATATTGTCAACGAGATAAACATGAATCATTGTAGGAAATATTACCGAGATGACTTTCCAAAAATATTTATTTAGGAAATATGAAGTACGAGCAGTTAAATTACATTTGAATGAAAGTTAATGATCCAATAATTTCTACATGTATCAAAGTCTATGCACAAAAAGCCTCTTTTTTTAGACATACTTAATGTCATGTCGGCTGAAAATTGATGACAAGAATTGCATTCTGTGAATGCAATGTTAAGTTCTAAGAATACAGCATGTACAAATTTACACCATTAAAACCTGTTCAGATTTGAGGTTGTAAACCACAGCTTTTTTTTTGTCTGTTGAGATGACGTAAGAGCTTAGTGAACACGCGTAGGAAACTACGCAGTTGCCATTCATTCATTTCTATACATTTGTATATAAATATATACCAAAATGAGCCTTAATACACAGCAGTGGAGCCATATATTTATTGTTTGAACGTGGAATGAATTATTTGTGTAAATGAATTGAAAAGTCAAGAATTGAGAATCAAGATTGTTACATTACATACTGTTTTATATTTTCATTTTTTATTAAATTGGATGCAATCATCATTTCATTGTATTTGTATACAAGAATTATTATTAAAAACTCAAATTGATATGAACCTGTTGTACAACATACTGATCATTGAAGAAAATGAATGTGTATATTATAGAAGATGAATAGATGTACTACTGTATAAAGTGGGCATTCTGTCAGCAGAGGTGGTTCGGTTTGGTTTGTTTGTTTTACCCGACTGCTAAGAAAACATGTGTATGCTTGTAAGTAACCAACCAGGGGACTGACGGCTTTAAGTCCTCTCCGAGGGACTTGGTAATGAGGATTTATGCCTTACCAAAGGGCATGAGTGCATCTACTTGGGTTTCGAACCCGGACCTCTCTGTTACGAGACCACTGCGTTACCACTAAGCCATCGCGTCTGCATGGTGAAGAAGTGTGTGAAAACCTACCATGACTGAAATCAGAGACAGAATCAAATAAATATGAATACAAATAATTGTACATTGCTTTATCATGAACACATTATACCAACATGGTCTCTATGCATGTTAGAACACCACTGTATTAAAGGTACTATGTCCCATTTGCAGGCCAAAAAATGAAAAGGTTAAATTCCAAAGGCATTTCAAAGATAATACTAATTAGAACTACCCTAAAGAAAAGGGGGCATGAAAATGTCTTTAAGTGGGAAAATAATGACTATTAGTTGTCAAATCGACTTTAGTGAGACCAATACAATAAGTAATAGTCTGATTATCAGACCATTGTACTGAATGGTCGTATGTTTTGTGCTGCGCAAAGATTCAATCAGTTTAATTTTGGCCACTACAAGATGTGGGTTATTGATGTAGATAAATGCTCATGTACCCTTTATAGCTCATTTTATACTAAAGAAGAAAAAAGGCCAGTCAGCCACTCAATAGTGTCTGACGGTGAAGTCTAGCAAGTAAACGGGTTTCCTTGCATAATTTGAATATTAGGACACTGCTTACATTTAAATTTCACAGATAGGACATAGATGACATATTCATAAATCATGCAAAGTTCTACAGAATTTGATATTGGCTGCAAAAGGTACATAGTATCTTTAATGTCCCAAACATCCAAAAAAAAATGTGGTTCAGTTTGGATCGAAATTGACCAAACTAAGTGATATTCTTTAAATGTATTCCTTAAAAATGATTTCTGGTGCTATCTTTTGAAATGCCCTATCCCAGTGAAAAAAATACATGGGGCTCGGCCGAATTAGCCCCCAAAATACCCAAAAGAGCCCCCAAAATTTGCATAGAGTTCAATGCAAAACAAATTAAAGAGAGTTATTTTCATGCAAGCAAGCTTGAAAAGTAGCCTCCAAAATTGCCCTATCCCAATATATTTTGTATGCACAGCAATTTGAGAGAACTTTTTTTATTAAATATGAAGGGATATAGCGTTAGTGAAAGTTTAAAAACAATTTGGGCAATGGAGTTTAGAATTTGAAAATCAAGCACCGGTAGTAGGTCCATGTTCAGACTCAAGTGTTGAGAGGCATCTATCCACCCACTTTGAATACACCGTACATCTATGACTGATTTGTTGCCAATTTCAACCTGGCAACTAAGCTACAGAGCAGAGTATATTTTGAAATCAACATTTATTTCAACGATACATGTGCATTCCATAGGTGGGTAATTTCTGTTACCGATAACTATATCTCACAATTCAATATCTCACACAGTACAAAGCTTTCACACACAAACAAGATCAACACAACATTTCCTTTTGTAAATCATAAAATATTTCTAATACGACCAAAAAACGACAAGGAAGTAAGAGTATAAATATGAAAAGAATTCATAAAATCAAGTCCATTTAATGTGAACAAGACATAGATACTTCATGATTTCTTTGTTACCTACAAAATATCTACTGTCACATCAGTTCATGTGCTTGGGTATTAAAGGGATCGTTTAACAATGTTAAATCTGAGATACACGACCCTACGTGTTATCAGTGTCTGTGATATGATGTAATATTGAAGCCCTAAAAAAATTGCGCTTCAAAATGATCAAGAAGTGTCTCAAAAAAATAAAAATCTATGAGTGACCGGTTTTACCATACTCGTTTTCCCCAATAGACTGTAGTGTTATGAAAACCGTTTGGCAAACAGTTTTCAAATTTTTTAATTCCCATCATAAATATCTTGATAATCAGACAGGCGATCGGCTTGTAAAAGTCATGGGGTTCCTGACTGACAATTATCATTGTAGCATGATTTAAATCCAGAATTTTGTTTCAGAATCTGAGACAAAGTTACCGGATCCCTTTACAGGGGGTGTAAACTGACGAATACAGGGGAACGCCATCTAAATCTCCATTTGGACAACTGCACGTAAATGAGTGGACTTGATTAACGTTAGTCAGCGACTTAATCTCTACATGGTCAGCGTTCGCGAAACAGACCGAAATTCTCCTCGCGCTTTATATTATACCCCATTGGCCCCCGAGTTTTTGCCACAGGAAAGACATGTAGTCTTGTCAGTTTATGCCCCCTTTAAAGGTAAAGACCAGTTTTGGAAACGCCCCACTCTCAAAAATGAAATGGAAGCTCTTATTACCAATCATGTGAAAGAATATATTATAACTAATACGTGATGACACAAATTTTGCCGGGAAACCGCCTACCAATTGACATATTTGGTAAATTATTATATCTATCAGGACTGGATAAATAATACAGTGCTTGTAACTTCACCAAGACTGGGCCAAATTTCTTATCATTTTGATGATTCCAGAGCCTTGCAGGACACACCAATACTTATATGATCAACCTTTTTTAATTGATTCCACACCATTTCTTTCAAAATTCAATCGCATGACCAGAACTGGTCTACACCTTTAAGATATTTAACATAAAAAAATAATGATAAATTGGCAATATAGATTTGCAGCACACATCATCATATTGGGTCCTTAGTTCCCGCCCCCCCCCCCCACTCCGGGGTCGTAATGACCGCATGCGTGTTACCAAAATGTCCTGTAAAGGGGTACTTTTCACGCACCAAAATCCGGCTCGTACATACACAAAATTGACTTTACACACTGAACTTAGGGGGTGTTTTCAAAAGGAGGGAACACGCATATGCGTACCCTAAATAACACTGAGTGGGGGGGGGGGGGGGGGGGCCGGGCCTTAGTTACAAGGAAATGATTTGTCAACTGAAATTTTGAAAGGTACACCCTAAAGGCAGCTTAATTTCTCTGACAACATGGACTAGCCTTTCATTGAAAGACTTTTCAATTTTCTAAAAAGAATTTAATTTAACTGTTGTCTACACATAGATTCATCATTTAGAATAGCATGTATGCTCAATAAATTTACTTTAAAAAGTTAAGTCTGTTTAACCATTTTTAGTCAAATCTATTAGTCACAAAATTAATTAAACTAACTTGAGCCACCTGGTCTAAACGGAGTTTGACGTTGATGAAGGCTTTGTCAAAGAGAGAACTGGCATTTCAGTTTTGAATGACCATAAGGCTGAATGAACTTCACATTCAATGACTATCAAGTTGAATGACCCACAAATTTGATGACCATCATGCTGAATGACACCCCCCCCCTTCATTCAATGACCACAATAATAACAATATTTATAGAGCACAACATATCCATCTCTAGAGATGCTCAAGGCGCATACAAATAATTAAAATTAATATTCAACATACCAGTACGTAAGATTAAAGAAATATTACATGTTAACTTACATTAGATCACACAACTTCATGGTGCCATGGTACATATAATGTGGCACAGTGTGATTATTCGCTTTGCATGTATTTTATAAAAAGAACAATGAAATTTAAACATAAACATCATGCTGAATGACCCCCCCCCCCTTCATTCAATGCCATCATGCTGAATGACCCCCCCCCCCTTCATTCAATGCCATCATGCTGAATGACCCCCCCCCCCCCCTTCATTCAATGCCATCATGCTGAATGACGCCCCCCCCCCTTCATTCAATGACCATCATGCTGAATGAAGACCACTATTCTTCTGATACCCCTCATAGAATCGGATGCTCTCTTGAGTGGTCTGGGGTTTGACGTTGGCCAAAGCTTGGTCAAAGTGCCTCTGACTGACCGACTGGATGTCCAGACTCTCCTGCATGGCTGATAATGCAGCTTCCCTACAGACTGCTACCACCTGTTGGTTCAATAAGGGATATGTGATTTAGCATGAAAGAAATGACTTAATCATGTACATGTTCTATACTGTCACAAATATAACTATTCCCAAATCAACATATTTGACATCACATCATTTACTTTGAACAAAGTCAACACATAAAGGTTTTATTGAAAATCTTAAATCTACTTCTCATACAATCATATGCTTTAAACCTCTAACTCACATATATTTCTTCACTGCCATAAACATTTATAAACACCTACGAACAAGATGCTCTGTAGCAATCAATACATTACTTATAGGAAGAATTTGTAAACTGCATACTCTGGTAGTTACGGATGGATTCCAATGCCTTCCAACTTTAAAACATGATTTTTAAAACAAACTAAAACTATCAGTGCATATGCAAGACACCACTACTGCATTAGAATCAGAAAATGTTTTGGTCGTTTGGGGCTGTTGTATTGGGTTGAACAACATTCAGTCAAAACTAGCTGATTTTTGTCTATTCATTCCAAATTTTTGTTATGTAGAGGTGTCATGGTCTGGTGGATACTATATCGGACTAAAGATCACAGGATTCATGGTTTGATTCCAGCACGGCACTAATGTCCTTTGACAAGACATTAATCTACATTTGCTACTCTCCACCCATGTGTTAAATGGGTACCGGCAGGAAGGAATACCTTGAATGCTGTGAGCACCGATACAGTAGCCTAGCAGAGCTAAGGTAATATTGAAGCGCTTTGAGCACCTCACACGATAAGTGCGCTATATAAATATCCAATATTATTACCTATACAAGGCATTTTAGCTGCTAAATAAATAGTCGTATTTTGCACATATTATGCCCTCTTCCGGGTTTCCCCCGTAGACCACTGTACTAAATCAGAGGGCAATATTGAGCCATATTCCACTCTGTCTTGTAAGTGCGCTTTACGCGCAGTATTGTGTAGGCGTGAAAGTATATGCGCGGTAACAATCATTGTTACGTCACAATTACATACCTGCCTGAATAACCTGAAATCAGATGCCTGATACCAAAGTTGTATATCAATAATTTGTTAAAAAATGCCTTGTTTAGGTAATAATAATTACTCGGGCAATACAATCTTATCTTTGTCAATATTTCTGATATACTCCTCAAGCCCAGTCAATATAATATAATAATTAATAAATAAATATCCAATATTATTATTATGATTAAGAGTTCTCAGTACCTCTGCACCAGAGTATCCCTGAGTTTGTTTGACTAGCATCTCCAGCAAGCAGTCTCCATCGATAGGCATCTTTCTGAACTGAATGTTGAGGATTTCCTTTCGGGTGTGGTCATCTGGCAACGACACATAGAGGATGCGATCCAAGCGCCCTGGTCTCATTAGTGCCTGAGATGCAAAGATGAGGAGCCATATCCAGAAAAATATTGAAGATTTTTATTTCCAAACATTACAATTGCCATGCCACAAAAACTTATATTGATAGGAATCGCGAACAAATCTATTTTTACATGCCTGCAAACATCTGAAAAGGCCAAGCAAAATGGTCATCATTTAGTCTGGAGAGAAATATTACTCCTTTGTGTTTAGCAAATCATTTCGAGGCAACTGCCATTATTTACCATACACACAAATTCATTTATTTCTGACTAAAATACTGAATGGTCTGAATTGTGTATAAATCGTTTGGAAATTGTTTGGAAAACATCTGAAAAATTCCAGCAAAATGGTCATTTAAACTAGAAACAAGTTTACTTTTTTGTATTTCTCAGCATTTTACAAGCATACTTTACAAAATCACACTTTTTGAGCTAAGACACAATGACTTGCTTTTTGGATTTGTGTGAGTGTTCAGTATACACAGTATTGACTGTACCACACTAGTACTTGTTACCATGTCTTTCATGTCAGGTCCATTCATGGCTCCTACTACAGTGAAACACGTCTATAAAGATCACTTGAGGGAGACAATAAAACTGGTCTTTACAGGGGGGCTTCATGTACAGGTTCCCTTAGTACAGGTTTCAATGAGAAACCACATTCAAGGGAAACAAAAATGTGGTCTTTGTAGACAGGTGCTCTTATTATGCAAGTGGTTGCTAAAGCAGGTTTCACTGTTCCAACAAATTTCCTTGTCCTACTACATCATCAAGCTCTTTGAGTGGTCTTTATACACAGGTTGTATTGTCTCTATATACCGTAAATCTCTGTGTATACGACGCACCTTTTTTTTCCGCTGTAAAAATTTGAATGTGGGGGGTGAGTCTTAAAGAGAGGTACAAGATATTTTGTGTACTCAAAGAGCAAATTTTTAGTGGTTTTCGACCATCTCTGTGTCTCAACATGAATAACATAATGAGATCAAAGAATAAGATCTACTATTTGAAGTGAACCCACGTTCCTATGCCACTTCACCTAGCACTGTGTCTTGCAGCTCACTCACACACAGGATGTCGACTCACCAGACGAAAACTAGCCTATGTTCGAATTTCTGTTTGGACTTGAAGGAATATTTGTCTGTCATCTTTAGTTTTAAAAACGACATTGCTACTATTATTTGTGACAAGTTCACAAGCACAAACCGGCGCCTTCAACTTCGCCTCGTAGCAAAATGAAGTCCTTCGCTAAAAAGCGAAAAAGCACCCCCAAAAAATAAAAATAAATAACTTATACACAGATTTAAAGTATCGAGTGATCTTGATGCACAGGCTTTGACTGTACTAATGTCCTTACCTTGTCTATCATGTCAGGTCTGTTTGTAGCTGCTACAACCACGACATCCCTTAGACATTCTACCCCATCAAGTTCTGTCAGGAGCTGCCCAAGGAGTCTGTCACCAACATTACTGCTTCCTGATGAGCTGAGGTGGAAGAAAACATGAATCAAGACAAAGAGTTTCAGAGGAATGCACATTGAAATACAGGGTGTCTCAACAAAATGAAAATGGGAATTTGAATCGCAATATCATAAAAAGCATTTAACCATTCTCATTCAAGTTTTGTAGGTAATTTGTTAGTAGAATACTGTGATCTCTGAAAGAATTTAACAAGGATACAAGCTAACACTACATATATATGATCATTTTTGTAAAATATGTCATTTTTCATATGCTACAAAGATAGGACATTGAATAGAGTCAGTGCACAATCAGCGTATACCATGCATTTCGCGGCAAATTTTTCCTTTGAATTCATTATAATAAGTCTGGTGTCAGTGAATTATGACCTTCTGCACATGGAAACTGATGACCCACCCACTTTGACCTACCTTCCTCTCTCCACTGCAATGCCATCTATCTCATCAAAGAAGACAATGGCCGGAGCAGCTGACCGTGCCTTTCTAAACACCTCTCTTACAGCTCTCTCAGAGTCGCCTACCCACTTGCTGAATAGCTCTGGCCCCTGAGTGAAAAAGTGAAACAAAAATAAGAGTTCAGTATCCAGATACTAAGAGTTGTTAAAGAAAATGTCTTACTAACTAGAGTCTCCTATATGAAGGATAAGCATCAAGTGTTTAAGATGTATCCCTGGTCTAGACTGTTTTAACAGTTCTTCAAAATGAAAGGTGACTTCGCTGTTGGTCAAACTCAATGGCCCGAATTCACAAAGGAGGTTTGTCAACAAACCTAGGTTTATGTGCGTCATATGACGCGTTTTTACAAACAATGACGCACATAAACCTAGGTTTGTCGACAAACCTCCTTTGTGAATTTGGGCCATTAGGTCTAGGTGCATGAAGTGGAGTCTGGACAGATACATGGACTTGAGGAGGAAGAAATGGTCACTTACTTTGACCGAGATGAAGTTGAGCCCGCTCTCAGTGGCCAGGGCTTTGGCGATCAAGGTCTTGGAGCAGCCAGGTGGGCCGTAGAGCAAGACTCCTCTGGGAGGGGAGACACCAAGTCGAGCAAAGGCTTCTGGATGCTTGATGGGCCACTCCACGGCCTGGCGTAGCTTAAGCTTGATGCTCTCCTGCCCTCCAATGTCTGACCAGTAGACCTGCAGAAACAGGACAAGAAAACCAGGAGGGAGAAAAAGATCAATGTAAAAAGAGGAGAAAGAGATTGGACGCAAGCTGGGTAAAAGGTATAAAGTCATTCAAATTAAAATATTATTGTGGATGAGATTTAGTTTATATCGTTTGTTAGAGATTTAGAAATATTTACTTAAAGGTACTATGTCCCTTTTGCAGCCAACCTCAAATGCTGTAGAACTTTGCAGGAATTATGAATATGTCATGTATGTCCTATCTGTAAAATTAAACGTTAGCAGTGTCCTCATATTCAAATTATGCAAGGAAACCCGTTTACTTGCTAGACTTCACTGTCAGACACTATTGAGTGACTGACTGGCTTTTTTTCTTCTTTGGTAATAACATACATGAAAAGAGTTGTAAAGGGTACATGAGCATTTGTCTACATCAATAACCCACTTCTTGTGATGGCCAAGATTAAACTGATTGAATCTTTGCGCAGCATAAAACGTATGACTATTCGGTACAATTGTCTGAAAATCAAGACTATTAATTTTGGGCTCTGTAGCCCTAAAGTCAATTTGACAACTAATAGTCGTTATTCTCCCACTTGAAGAAATTTTCAAGCCCCACCTTTTTTAAGGAAGTTCTGAATTAGTATTATCTTTCATATGCAGTTGGAATTCAACTTTTTCATTTTTTTGGCCTGCAAATGGGACATAGTACCTTTAAACAATGCAAGATAGTAAATATAACTATAGTGAAAGGATTATGAAGATACCAGAAATTCATCATAATAACTATAATATTTAGCAGAATATAATGTAATAACCAAGATTCATGCTTTGTGGTTGAATCCTCAAGTGGCATAGTAAAGGTACTGGGCCTGAGTCATGTCGAGATTTTCATAAACCGGGTCCCGACGGCCTTGCACCGATCGGGACCCGGTGTCCCCAAATCAGCTTGCAGGATTTGTCACTTGCCTCTATAAAAAGTGCATATCATCAGTATGTCCCTTAAAAAGTGACCATTTTTATCAGTCAAATAAATCAGCACATGCATACCTCGGCACAGATTGGTATATTCTTCCATTGGACATTATTTTCATCCATGATTGGCGATGTTAAGTGCCATTATCGTGCCTCTAAAAGTTAAAAAACTGGAGCAAAATAGCAAGACAACATTCGAGCCGCCATTTTGATTCATGCAGGTTGAATAAATCGGGTAAAAAAATATGAATGTTAGAATAATGAAACGGCTTTCTAAAAAATTCTTCTTAACAACATACCGATCAAATAATTTTTTAAAGACAAAATAAATATTAATCTCTTATTTTAAACATCGCATGCATTTTTTAAAAGCTGAAAATTACTTGGTAATCACAAGAAGTTTCGATACGGATAGCTGTTGCAAGGCAAGTTCAGACTTGTCACGGAAAAATGCGCAGTGCACCTCGTTTGCTGTAATGCGTGCCAGACCGAACCCAAACAAATATACTTGATCGTAACAAGAAATCATTAAAAACTACGAGAGCACAATTGGAAAGACAACTACTGCTCAAAATTACCATAATCAGATACATTACTTGGACAAAGAATTCAAAAATCGCCCAAGAAATACCACAGAAATTGTGATAATCGAGGAGTAACTAAGTACATTTTTATCGCAAGGGGCCTGCTGCAAATACTCAAATCCTTTGTTATACTGCTTTTACCGTAGAGGGTGATATTTGGTTTCTAGCCTCGTGTCAATTTAAACACGTGTAATTCGGAGCAGCAGGCCCATTCTGATAATAATTGTACCTATAGTAACTCCTTAAATATCACTATTTCTGTGGCTTTTCTGGACAACTATTGTATTCTTCCTCCAAGTTATGTATCTGCTTACGATAATTTTGAGTTGTCTTTCCAATTGTGCTCTCGTAGTTTTTAATGATTTTTTTTCTCGTTACGATCACGTATTTGTTTGAGTTCGTTTGGCACCATTACAGTCAATGAAGTGCAGTGCACTGCGCATTCTTTCTGTGACTAGTCTGATCGAACAGCTATCAGTATCAAAACTTGTTGTGATTACTAAGTAATTTTCAGCTTTTAAAAGAAACATGCAGTGTTCAAAATGAAATAAAAATATTTATTTTGTCTTGTAAAAATTATTTGATCGGTATGTTGTAAAGAAGTATTTTTTAGAAAGCCGTTTTATTATTCGAACATTAATGTTTCTTTCAACCTGACTTATTCATCCTGACGAGAGAGACCCAGCCATTACAGTAGCTAGCTAGCTGTGCTGGCAACAACAACCCCATGCAGCGAACTGCTTTGCAACCCATATTTATATCAGCAGTTCGGATTGATTCAGGATGAGCTAGAATATGATTGGTAAAAATTAAATACTTAAGTTTTAAAGGTAATACAAAGTTTTGGGAAATTTTGAAAATTTGGTGGATAGTAAATCTTTACAATTTTGATATATTTGGATGCCCCTGTGGATGTATTATAAGCACTAAAAAAATTAACCCCTAAAACACTTCTGTTTTCGAGAAAAATTGAATATAAAAATTTACCGGTGCTCCCGGTAAATTTTGATAAATTTCAAATAGCGCCTACGGCCGTATAATGGTAGCTGCGACCATGAAAATCTCAGAATATGTAGTTGTGATATATAATTTCCAAACGGGAATAGCTAAACGGTCAATTTTAGTCAAGAAACATTGTTTCATAGCTAAATTGATATCTTGACCTTGAGAGGGAGCTATACAACATATAGAGTTTAGTATTTATAATTTCATAACTTAAGACTCGATATCAACCGGGACAACAATCAATGAATATTGTGCGAACGCATATGCTTCCAATATGTTAATTTGAACCAAATTCATGACCCCATACCAAAACTTTGTAATACCTTTAAGGTGGATTAACTTTAGTGGTGTGAAAAACTGCAATTTCTTACATATTTCATTTTTTTTCCCGGAGCATCGGTTTCCAAAAAACAAAACCGGGACCCGACGGCGACGGTCGGGATTCGGTGTGACCGACCGTACCGACTCAGGCCTAAAAGGTACATTGATCTTGTACCAAAACTTACAGCATTGTGACTGGCAACCGAAACAACACTTTCAACTATTATCATTGACCTATAATATATACATACCAATAACAAAATATATATCTTCAAAGATTTGGCTCTTTAATGTTAAAACTTGCCTATAATCTAATATTGTGTACATTTAACATGAACCATCTTACTTTTAGTTTGTGGATTACAGATCATGGTCACTTCAGACAAGACATTGCTGCCTTCAACAAAATATTTGCCAACAAACTGGAGAATTTCAAAAGTTATCAAATGTACCCCACGATGAAGATATTATTTACTCTACAGCCATCAAGCAGGAAGCTAGAATTGCATACCTTTGGTATATCGATCTCAACTTCCCTCAAAGCGCTGGGTTTAACTTGGGCCATGGCATGGAGGAAATCTTCCTTAGTGACTGAACCTGAGGCTATGTGACTTGCATTCATCGGCTCTTGGGTCAAGGCTCTCAGTCTCTCAAACGTACGCATCGCAGCTGTGTACAATGAATGAATGAGGCGAGAACATAAAATTACAAAGGAACTCTATGATATCAGGAAACACCGACTATCCTTAAGTTCTATAAAGAGACAATGCCATTTAAATTCACTCTAAATTAGGCCTGATTCAACATGGGTTTGAGTGGGGAAAAAAATTTGATTATTATAACGAAGCACTTCTTTATCTAAGTATGATCGTACTTACATCGGACAAGCCCAGAGAATTACGGAACACAAGTAAATTGGAGGTAAATCAGTTAACATAACAAATCAGTTCTTTATCTAACAATGATCATACTTACGTCGGGCTGTCCTAAAGAATCGATAAACGCAACAGTAAGTAAATTAGCCATCTTGAATAATTATGAATGCAAGGAAAACTGCTGATGGCTTCTGGCATCACAGCAGGAACAGTATTGACAGCACTGATAATGGCATCATAACTTGTAGATCAAAACTAATCAGAATGTTCCTGCGTTTTTTTTCAGGTTCTGGTTCTGGTCCAGGTCCAGGAATTGGATAAAATATTGCAAATTTTCCGGCCGGGTTCCGGTCCAGGCTTTTCTCCCCAACGTCCAGCACTGTATACAAGTAACGGGACCAAAGACGTAATAGAGAATGAGAGCCAGCATGGAAATGGTAATGTTATTATGATGAGCTCACCTTCCTTACAGACTGCTGTTAGATCAGCACCAACATAGCCATGGGCTGAATCTGAGATCAGTGTCAGGTCTTCAGCAGTCAGGCTATGGGATATACTACCCGTCAATTTCTCAAGTATCTGCGTATTAAAAGTAAACACAGAAATCAGAAATAACAAGTCCACTACTCTAGTTGCAGACACAATACAGTTTAACCTGTCTATAGCGACTGCCCATAGGAAACACAAAACGTGGCCTTTGTAGACAGGTTCCTTTAGTACATGATTCAATGAGAAACCATTTTCAAGGGAAACAACAAATGTGGCCTTTGTAGACAGGTGGTCTTTGTAGACAGGTGGTCACTAAAGCAGGTTTGACTGAACTTGTTAGTTGTTGGGCGTAACAGTGTCTGCACTATGAGACTACAGTAGGCTCTTTAGCCGCTCCAGCCAGATCTTGGCTCTGCTCAAGGCTTTAGGAATTGTGTTAAAGTGTCAGATGAGAGTCTGTGTTTGTAGACAAACTCTAACCATGAAGAATCATGCCTAGATTTATAGGATTGGAGATATGAAGGTTATGGTTCCAGACTCCAGAATAAACCCTTGAGTATTCCTGAACCCTATTTAGCCCGGGCTATTTTGAAACTGCATAGCCCGGGGGGGGGGGGGGGGGGGGGGCTTTAGAAGCCTGATGAGGAAACAAAAGCATCTTGAATTTAAAATATAATCAATGATATTGTAGAACAAAACTGTGCAAAAGCAGGTGAAAATCCTCAAACAAAATGTTTCTTTAACACACATGTCTATGGAAGTGATTTTAATCACTGATTTTAAAAAGAATTAAAATCGTGCCAATCCTGATTATTCTCAAATGTTATATTACTCAACGTACCTGTCTTCTTTCTCTTGCATTGGGAACACCTATTTCAATCTCATGGTCGAACCTGCCAGGTCTTCTCAGGGCAGTGTCAATGGAATCTGGACGCGCCGTTGCTCCAAGCACAAGGACATGACGACCAGAGGATGTATTCTACAACAACAACAAATACAGACACATTTGTTCACAGGAAGTAGGAAAAACTGTTTTTATATGTGGGTATTTTTATAGGTTCCTGACCTGAAAAGCCTCTTTTCTTTTCAATGAGAGACACAGTAAGGGGACCAGAAGAAAAGAAATCCTCTAAGACAAGCGGTACTTAATTACAGGGGTCACTAATTTCCACTGTACAAGGGTTCAAAAACATTTTTGGAGGTATGAACCATGTATGACTGTGTTCTGGATCCAAAAGTGAGTTACAATCGATAGCCATTATAAAATCCTAAAGACCTACAGAACACCTGAAACCAACCCCCACCCCCCCCCCCCACCACCCCCCCCCCCCCAAAAAAAAGAGAAAAGGTCTGAACATATTGCATAAAGCACTATGCAATGCAATGAATTGTGAAGTTCAACTAATCACCCCTAGAGGAGGGAGGAAGGGGGAGACTGGGGGAGACTGGGGGAGGGGGAGACTGGGGGGAGGGGGATACTGGGGTTGAAGCAGCATTTACCTGTCCCATGCCATCCATCAATGAAATCAACATTGAGACGACCCTCTTCTCCGACTCGCTATTCACCCTCTCTCTACGAGGGCAAAGAGCATCTAACTCGTCTATCAGGATTAGGCTAGGGGCATTCTGGGCTGCTTCATCAAACAGGGCTCGTAGTCTGGACTCAGATTCACCATAAAACCTGTAGAGTGTTTCATACAAAGAGAACATACAGTAAATTCTTATTGGCAGAGGTGTCACAAAAAAACTTACAGAAAGTGTTTATGATTAGTGACACAAAATAACTAAATTACAGTCTACATCATTTTTTTTAAAGTAAAACATTTGATACTGTTATTAGGCTTTTGGGGAATTTAGTTTTTTTGTAAATACCGGTATGACTAATGGCCTTCATATCAGTGACAGTGTCCCGACCAATACCGGAGCTCCACTTATGAACCCGTCTTTATGTTCACAGAGGTGGGGGGGGGGGCGACGGCATTCAGCAGTGCTTACACAAAAACACTATTTCAAACAACAAGTTTGGCCAAAATTCTCCAAAACGAACACCTTCATGTTTCTCAGAACACAGTTACCTTGTGCATACAATTTCTACCGACCCACTCAAACATGCGCATTATTTGTATGCTAGTCCACTTTAAATGAGAACTCGACACTTTTGATATATTCAGAAATGTCAGAAAAACACCCATATTTGAGGAAAATCAGACAATAAATGATATCTTATGAATGTTTTTAACACTTAACTTGGCATACGATAGTGTTATGATATGAAAGAACTTGTGTATTGTGGAAACAAATTGGCAACTCTGTCATGAGCCTGCAATTGTAATCTCTCTCTATTTACATGTGTATTGATTGTTTAATTCTTATAGTGTCTGTTCAGAGCCTGAAGTGCATAAACTCTGTATTGAATTATATGAGTTAATGCCCTTTCTGGCTCCAAACAGATAATAGTGGAACTGTGCAGTAGCACTTACTTGCTGAGCACCTCTGGCATGTTGATGACTACTATGTGGACTCTTGACTCCAATGCTACTGCCCTTGCCAGCATGGTCTTACCCACTCCAGGGGGACCATAGAGTAGAACGCCCCTTGGTGGGGGTATACCTGTAGAGAATAATATGATAGTTAGTTTCCGTACATCCCAAAAGAGGGGGAGAGAAGCAACCAGAGGAAAAATGTATGTGGGTGAAATAATACATAACTACAGATAAATACACATTACTAATGTTTTCTTTCTTGTTGTTTCTTCTTGTCCAATCAGGTAAATCCAAATGAATTAATTCTATGTCTACTATTTTTCAAACCAACCCATAGGGTTAGCATAATTTTATCTAAACTAAATAATTACCTTATTTATAAATGACTGCTTTGACACATAAAAAATAAATAGGTGTGTAAATGAGGAAAGCATTCATTGAAACTTTCACTTTCTTCAGCGACAACTTCAAAGCTTTACTTAAATAAATTTATCTGCCCACAGGAAGTAAACATTCTGGAATGGAAATCGTTAACGTGGTTTAAGAGTTCTAATAATTGGATCATTTTGTGCCAAACTCCTGCAATTACCAAGAGAAGCAAATATATCTGGATTCTTAAGCGGCATCATCACCACGTCCCTGATAGCCTTCAGTTGTCTCTCCATTCCTCCAATCATGTCAAAAGTCACACGGCCGCCTAGCTTAGTGATGAGTTGTTGTTCATCAGAGCTTTTCTTCTCTTCTTGTTCAGAGGTTAAAATCTCTAAGCGAGTTGTCTTGGTGACCCTGTACACACCCGATTCCTCTGTTACACACTGGCTTCTTGATAAGGAATCAATTGTTTTTTCATGTGACTGCTTCTGAGACAGACTGGGTGTCCTCTTGGGTGTTGAGGATATGATGATGCTGCTGGTTTCTGATAAATTCAGAGAATTGAACTCATTTTCCAGGTCACTTGCAGAATCCATTGCCAATGAGCTACTAGTATCTACAGCATCAACCCTGCTAGAATTGGTAATGTCACCTCCTTGACTGTTTATCATTGATACATCTGTTTCACCTAGCCCTTCATCAGAGGTTCTAGACTCTGTAAAGGAACAAGTAGAAATGTCTGTCCTCCGTAGATGCGAGGTCCAGTTTCCTGCATCACTTGACACTGATGTGGGAGTTCTCTGTAGATTCTTGATCAGTCTCTCAGCTGATTGGGTAGTCATGGCTGACTGCTCCAATGGAGCTGGTTCAGCACATGTGCGTGCACTGATTTGAATGACCTCCAGTGTGACTGGCTTGCCAAAGTAAGTAACACTGAATAAGCTCCCGTACATCATGTGCTTGCTGTTCAGGTATCTGGCGGCAAAATTCTTGAAGTCTGATTGTATGGAAGACATATCCTCATCAGATCTGTGGAAACACAGAGGTTGAAAAAGACATTACAATATTACTACTGGTAGACTTTAATATTTAACAAGAGATTATAAATACAACATTACATGACTTCCATTTGTTGCAACTGCTGTCAAACATTTACAATGAATTTCAAATAAATTTTTCCTTCATACAAAAACATTGCATTTGGTATTTGTATCTCTCATCTTGATGCCCTCATCACTTTGGATTAATTTTGAGTCAAGGAGCTCAAAATGTGAAGTCAGCCTATCCCCTGAATATATGCTCATAAGATTCTTTACCTGACAAGTACTGTTGCTGATGAAGCTGCTGCCACGCTTCCACACACAGCTTCCACCTTAACAAACTCCCCATCATCCCATCCATGCACCTTCTGCAGGCTCTTATGTACTCCAACAGATCCTGCAGGGAGGTTTGGGACGGGCCACACCGTGCAGATGGACTTGGTAGGATCTTCATTGACTGCAGTGGTAATCTGTGTGACGATAGTAGGCTGACCAATGCAAAGGCCACACAGTGACATGGTCTCTGGATGCATCTGGATGACATCATGTTTGGCTGACTTTGGGAGCTTGGTGACTCCTAGAGTAAGGAAAAGAACAGGATATTTTCAGGAATTAGTTTAAACTTGGCAATTGTAGAGTCTACACAGGTAACTGCAAAGCCCAGGCCAAGCAAATATTTGACAATTTATAATGGGAGTGGTTGTGAATTTTCTGCAGAATATTAAAATACAAGATAAGATCTGCCTCTTTCAAAAGAAATGCATTTTCCAAACTCTTCATTGACTTACATGTAGTTAATGGTTTACCGAAAACTGCTACAAAAAATGATTAGGGAAATGTAAATTAATTTTTCCATGGCTTACTGTATCTAATCTTGAGGGATATCTTTCTTTCTTGAAATAGTGACAAAGTGTACTTCCATGAGTTTAATGAGAAGTGAAAATAATCCTGGAACACAGGTTCTTATTTGAATTTACTTTGTATACAGTGGCTGAAAGACTTTTGCAGCGATTTGCATCCATTCCAAAAAAATATGACCCTACTGACAAGGTACAGGGTCTGGAAACTTTGTTTTGAGAGAAGATGTCATCAAATTAGTGAGTATAACAGCGAGACCAACTCATTGTATGACAGTTTGCCTTATAATTCATGTTATTATCGTACCTTTAATGGATCAATGGATCTCTCATGCACAAATATTAAGGTTTTGTTGTGTGTATGACTTTTTCTTTAGTTAATATATTGAGATGCTTGTACATGTAAGGGTGCGTTTATCATAGACTTCTTCAAAGTGATAGAAATAGAGTTTATCAAAAAGAATGGAGGATAGACACAAAGAAAGCTATTTCATTATAAAATACAAACTTTCTCTAACTACAACAATTCAAGGCAAGAAATTTGGTCAAACTCTTACTGATGCAACACACTGTAATAACTACATTCAAGCAGTACAGCATTAGTTATGTAAAATATAATACAGGAGACATCATCATGCTACACTTCTTTATATTTTGGACAGCGGATAAAAAGTCACAGTTCATTGGAAAAAGTAATTCGCCGGCGGACCGTATACATCTCACCGAGTTCAAACTTCTGCATTGATATAGTACACGAGAATCGAGCATGAATTCAGACACAGCAACAGATCTATGCGTATCTTTTTTGCTCCCTCGACGAGATGATTCCACACAAAACCCCCCTCCCCCCTCTCTCTCTCTCTCTCTCTCTTATTCCTACCCTCTTCTTTCATGCTCTTACCCCCTCTCTCCTTTCTTTCATCCCCCGTTTCTTTCGTTTCATTTTCTCTTTTTTTCCTTTTTTTCCTTTTTTTTCCTTTTCTCCTTTTTTTTCCTTTTCTCCCTTTCATTCTTTTCAATCGCCGTCCGATCGCCATTATACATCTTACTGATTTCAAACTTCTGCATTGAGAATCGAGCAAGAATACAGACACATCTGACCTGACACAACAACATAGATCTATCTATGCGTATTTTTCTTGCTCCCTCCACGAGATAACTTCACCCAAACCCCCCCCCCTCCCCTCTCGCTCGTTTTTTTCCTTTTCTCCTTTTCTTTCTTTTCATTCTTTTCATTCTTTCCCTTCCTTTTCTTTTCCTTTTTGCCTCTTTCTCTTTTTCTTTCTTCTCTTCTGTTTCCTTTCTTTTTCCTTTCCTTTTCTTTTTCTCATTTATGCAGGGAGTGGGACGACTCGGCTCGGCCCGGTGTTTGCAGCGGTCGCGGGTTATCCCGGATCCATCCGTGGACAAGCATAGATCTACAACATCATTATCACCATCACATCAAAAGTCATAACTTCATAAACTTACCCTTCTCAATCTGTTCTGTTACTTCTCCTAGCAGCATGTCGTTGATAATCACGGGAAAGCCGGCTTGATACAAGTCCTTTTCGAAGTCAAAATGTGGAGGAACTCCTTCAACTTTCTTGAAAAATTCGGCATCTTTCGGTCGATGAAAGAGTTTTAAATCTCCCCTTTTCATGCGAAGCCAGTTGTTCACAGGATTCTTCTTTTTACTAGACATGATTTACGGCACTTTATGCTACTTTTTACATTTAAAAATGCTGTACAGTACAGCTCATGCCTCAGCAGTGTAAAAACTAGAAATGCAATCGTGTCAGAACGATGTGCGTGCAATGACGCCGTGTTTCTACGTGTCAAACGAAAGAGCTTCTCTCGGACTATCCAGATTTGCACGAAGTCTGTAGCTTCTGTGATATTGGAGATAGGTAGGGCGAAAGAAAGGCATCAACAGTGACCTTGATGGGATGGTACTATGCCTACGAAGTTTGAAAGAAATTGGGATAGGGGAAAGAACCTAGAAAGGGCTCGCAAGCACTGCGTGCACAAACCAATGGGATTTGGTGCATGTTTGACATTGCAATCAAGTTCGTTCTGGGGGCCAAAAGCGTGAACCCGATATGCCCCATAGACAATGCGTGTAATGAATGGGCGGAAAACGTGCAGGATCTGTATTATGGCCGGAGTTAAATTGTTTTTTCTCTCTCTCTTTACGTCTCTTTATGGGCCGTATTTGGTATCATTAGAAAGAGAATTTCATGGTTGTTATTGTAAACCACTCTCTTTTTTTCTATGATAATCCTATCGAAACACGTGATGTAAAATAAATGTATAGGACAAAATGGCGTCTTAAATGGCCCCCTTGACCAATTTCAAAAATCCGGCCAAGAGGTGCCCTGCGTATTGGAACTCGGCATGTCACTGCAAATTTTCAAGGAAAAAAAAGGACGTTTAAGGGGCGAAAAGCAGTCTGAAAAAATGACGTCATAGCCGATACGTGTTAGATTCGGGCGGAAACTCGGCGGAATTCGTGTAGTGACCTTTGTTCAAATACGATTTACTCACAATTTTCTGTGTGAACATATAGTATACTTGGTATCATTCGAAAGGGCACTTCATTGCGGTCAGTTTGACACCATTGTTATCTGCGCGCAATGTATTGCACGCATTAAACGCGCTATTACGTAATGCATAGTAAATTCATCATTTTGGGCGATAACTTTGCGCTGACATATTCGAATTTTACCAAACTTGGCAAACAGTTGTCACGTATATGGATACATATATCCGCCAAGTTTCACTGATATAGGTATAAAGATCGCCATTTTAGAGCAAGTTGAAGTTATTTTCGAATTTTCTCGAAAATGGCAATTTTGGAGGGCATTTTTCTCAAATTTGGTCAGTGTTAGGGTATATAATTTTGTATATGGCTGGAAAGGGCATATCTTCAAGTATCTAAATCCAAAAAAGGGTACGGGTTTGCCAAGCCATTATGGAGATACGGCCACAGAGAGAAAGCCAATTCCCAGAACTTTAGAGGGCGCTATTTATGTTGTGCAAAGCCATTGGAGCGTGAAATTTGGCATGGCTATGTGCAATTATGAGATAAAGATAATGTGAGATTAAAACACAAAACGGAATTTATATGAGAAAGTTATGGCAGTTTTAGATTTTTAGGGGTCCATTTTTCAAGAATTTGAGAGATTTTTGACGGAGTCAGTTTCAGATTTGAATTTTGAGTACGAAGATGGCATTTTGAAGGTCAGGTCATACGTCGCAGATGAAAGAACATCTATTAGACTATCTAGAGGAATTTGTTAGAAGTTTGTAGGATCTAGGATAGTGGAGATAGGAAGGAAGACAGAAAGGCCTTAAAATGGACCAAAAACGGATAAAATGGCGCCTGGACGGTTATGCATGAGTGATTTCGAAAATCAAAGAATGTAGTGACCTTGATGAGATGTTAGAGACCATGCCTATGAAATTTGAAAGAAAAAGAACATGAGGAAAGCACCGAACCAGGAATAACAAACACTACGTGCAAAACGAATGCGATTTTCTGACGATAAGGAAAAGGACTAGAAATGCAATCGTGTCACAACGATGTGCGTGCAATGACGCCGTGTTTCTACGTGTCGAACGAAAGAGCTTCTCTCGGACTATCCAGAGCAATTTGTACGAAGTCTTTAGCTTCTGTAATATTGGAGACAGGTAGGGCGAAAGAAAGGCCTCAATAGTGACCTTGATGGGATGGTATGACTATGCCTACGATGTTTGAAAGAAATTGGGATAGGGGAAACAACCTAGAAAGGGCTCGCAAGCACTGCGTGCAAAAACAAATGGGATTAGTTGCACGTTCGTCATTGCAATCAAGATCGTTCTAGGGGTCAAAAGCGTGAACCCGATTTGCCCCATAGACAATGCGTGTAATGCATGGGCGGAAAACGTAGAGGATCTGTATTATGACCGGAGTTAAATTGTTTTTTCTCTCTCTCTTTATGTCTCTTCATGGGCCGTATATGGTATCATTGGAAAGAGAATTTCATGGTCGTTATTGTAAACTACTCTCTTTTTTTCTATGATAATCCTATCGAAACATGTGATGTAAAATAGATTTAAAGGACAAAATGGCGTCTTAAATGGCCCCCTTGACCAATTTCAAAAATCCGGCCACGAGGTGCCCTGCGTATTGCATCTCGGAATGTCATTGCAAATTTTCAAGGAAAAAAAAGGATGTTTAGGGGGCGAAAAGTAGTCTGAAAAAAATGACGTCATGGCCGATAAGTGTTATAATCGGGCGGAATTCGTATAGTGACCCTTGTTCAAATGCGATTTACTCACAATTTTCTGTGTAAACATATACCATACTTGGTATCATTCGAAAAAGCACTTCATTGCGGTCAGTTTGACACCATTGTCATCTGCACGCAATGTACTGCACGCATTAAAGGCGCTATTACGTAATGCATAGTAAATTCATCATTTTTGGCGATAACTTTGCGCTGACATATTCGAATTTTACCAAACTTGGTAAACAGTTGTCACGTATATGGATACATATGTCTGCAAAGTTTCATTGATGTAGGTATAACGATCGCCATTTTAGAGCAAGTTGAAGTTATTTCTCAATTTTCTTGAAAATGGCTTATTTGGAGGGCAATTTTCTCAAATTTGGTCAGTGATAGGGTATATAATTTTGTATATGGCTGGAAAGGGCATATCTTCAAGTATCTAAATCCAAAAAAGGGTACGGGTTTGCCAAGCCATTATGGAGATACGGCCACAGACAGAAAGCCAATTCCCAGAACTTTAGAGGGCGCTATTTATGTTTTGCATAGTCATTGGAGCATGAAATTTGGCATGGCTATGTGCAATTATAAGATAAGGATAATGTGAGATTTAAACACAAAACGGAATTTATATGAGAAAGTTATGGCAGTTTTAGATTTTTAGGGGTCCATTTTTCAAGAATTTGAGAGATTTTTGACGGAGTCAGTTTCAGATTTGAATTTTGAGTACGAAGATGGCATTTTGAAGGTCAGGTCATACGTCGCAGATGAAAGAACATCTATTAGACTATCTAGAGGAATTTGTTAGAAGTTTGTAGAATCTAGGATAGTGGAGATAGGAAGGAAGACAGAAAGGCCTTAAAATGGACCAAAAACGGACAAAATGGCGCCTGGACGGTTATGCATGAGTGATTTCGAAAATCAAAGAATGTAGTGACCTTGATGAGATGTTAGAGACCATGCCTATGAAATTTGAAAGGAAAAGGACATGATGAAAGCACCGAACCAGGAATAACAAACACTACGTGCAAAACGAATGCGATTTCCTGACGATAAGGAACAGGAAAAGGAGGAAAAGGAGAATATTAATGGGGCAGAATGTGAACGAAAACAAGGCAATGACGAAGGTTCGTCATTGCAAAAAGGAGGAAAAGGAGAATATTAATGGGGCAGAATGTGAACGAAAACAAGGCAATGACGAAGGTCGTCATTGCAATGATGGTAGCTAATTGACCGGGCCGCGGCCGTGGAGCTTAGCTTAGCCCAAACTTGTGGCTATCGCATCCGTCGCGTCGGCGTCGCGACGGATCAGCTGGCTATACCATACAAAAAGTATGCAGCATGTTCTATTATGGGCAGCCGAAGTAGCAATACACCAGTTTACAGTTGTATCAGTGCGCATGCGCAGACAGAGGTCAGAGGTTATTGGCCCAAAAATTGGGGCCAATAACCTCTGACCTCTGGTATTTATGCGTAAATTAAGATTGCGCCCATGCAAATGATGATATGCGCGCACAACGCAGCGCGCAGGCAGTGATATCATCATAATTTGCATGGGCGCAATCTTAATTTACGCATAAATACATGACCTCTAGGTCATTGGCCTTGTTTAAAATGGCGCACACAACTGTAAACTGGTGTCATAGAGATATATATCTCTATGACTGGTGTATTACTGTTTTGTTTATGGCAAGCCAAAACGTTCACGATTCAGACAGCCTATAGATCATCTTTTCTAAAATACTAACAGATATTAGGGGCTTTCTCTTGGCAACATTCTAAAGATTCATACATGGGAGAAAATAAACAGGCCTGTTTGGTCAATACAACCAGTTCATTTACTACCCAATTAGTCTATTTCCATATGGTTTACGCACAATCCGTCTATACTGTCAAATGGTCTAGATCAGTATCATTTCGTCCACTTATCACTTGGCCGATGACCATTATAAGGCTAATAGTCATTTATTCTAATTTCCAGTCATTCTAATTCCCAGTTTAATACTTTTTTGTCTACTATCCATATGATCTAATAATCATTTAATCATAATTGATAATAATCGATCATCAGATGATTATTAGACCTTATGGAAATAGACGAAATGGGCATTAATTAGACAAACTGTGAATTAGACTACGGTAACTGGTTATTAGACTAAATGAACAATAGACCAAATGGAAAGTAGACTTATTGGAGATTAGACCAAGTCAAAATTAGACTAAATGCAGCTATTAGCCTAAATGGTCATTAAACCAAATGATAAGTAGACAAAATGATTACTAATCACATTCTCCTCAAGATCCCCCCTCCCCCTTTCAATAACTTGTGGCTGATCGAGACACACAACTATAATGAATACAAGAAGTGATTGATAATCCTCCCAGACGCTTAAGATCATCCGATTCTAAATTGCATGTTGTTCCGAAAACAAAGAAATCATGGGGGGAATCGGTCATTTGCAAAGCTGACATGCAGGGGGCGTCGCTAAAGGGGGGGGGGGGGGGTGTGGGGGGGGGGTGCGACACCCCCCCCCCACCTGTCAGGATATTGTCGGTAAAATTGCGCTGCCGTCGGGAAAAAGAGAAAAGGGGGAGGAAAAAAAGAGAGGGAAAAAAAGAAAGGGAAAGGGAAAGAAAAGAAAAAAAAGAAAAGAAAAGAAAAGAAAGAAAGGAAAAGAAAGAAAAGAAAGGAAAAGAAAGGAAAGAAAAGAGAAGAGAGAAAGATAAAAAGAAAAAGAGGGAGGAGAGGAGAGAAAGGAAAAGAAAGAAAAGAAGAAAAAAGAGGGAAACAAAAGAAACGGGGATGAAAGAGAGGAGAGAGAGGGGAGGTAAGAGCCTGAGAGAGGAGGAGTGGGAGTAAAAGAGAGAAGGGGGTTGTTGTGTGGAGTCGTCTCGTCGAGGGAGCAAGAAAGACACGGGTAAATATTATGTTGCTGTGTCGGGTCAGCTGTGTCGGTATTCTTGCTCGATCCTCGTGTACTATATATATCAATGCAGAAGTTTGAAGTCGGTGAGATGATTGTATATTGTCGGTCGGCCGACAAGTTTTTTTCCCTACGAACTGTGACTTCTTATCCGCTGTAACGACTTCGAGAGTGACTACAACGACAATACTTGTATTTTCACTTTCCTATAATATCAGCTAAAGAAATCAGAGGTTTAAAATTTTTGGGGAAACTAAATTCAAACAAGGTTTAAGAGTCAACAACGGTACGACGAATCGTCTTCCTTTCTTTATATTGTGATGAAACGCCAAAAATTCCGCGCTTCGCGCGGAAGGGAAAAACTTAATTTAGACGAGTCGAGAACGGTACAATGAATCGTGTTCTTTCTCTAATAATTTGAGGAAACATCAAAGCTTTCGCGCTTTGCGCGAGAGGGGAAACTGAATTCTGATGAATAGGGCTTAATAACATTCGAAAACGGTACGAGGAATCGTCTTCCTTTCTCCATATTGTGATGAAACGCCAAAAATTCCGTGCTTCGCGCGGAAGGGGAAAACTTTATTTAGACGAGTAAAAAACGGTACAACGAATCGTGTTCTTTCTCTAATAATTTGAGGAAACGTCAAAGCTTTCGCGCTTCGCGCGAGAGGGGGAAACTGAATTCAGATGAATCGTCTTCTTTTCTCTATAATGATGAAACGCCAAAAATTCCGCGCTTTGCGCGGAAGGGGAAAACTTCATTTAGACGAGTCGAGAACGGTACAATTTACGAATCGTCTTCTTTCTCTAATAATTTAAGGAAACGTCAAAGCTTCCGCGCTTCGCGCGAGAGGGGGAAACTGAATTCAGACAAAATTAATAGGGCTTATTTAGAGTCGAAAACGGTACAACGAATCGTGTTCTTTCTCTAATAATTTAAGGAAACGTCAAAGCTTCCGCGCTTCGCGCGAGAAGGGGAAACTGAATTCAAACAAAATTAATAGCACTTATTTAGAGTCGAAAACGGTTCAACGAATCGTGTACTTTTTCTAATGATATGAGGAAACGTCAAAGCTTTCGCGCTTCGCGCGAAAGAGGGAAACTGAATTCAGATGAATAGGGCTTATTAAGAGTCGAAAACGGTACGACGAATCGTCTTCTTTCTCTAATAATTTAATGAAACGTCAAAACTTCCGCGCTTCGCGCGGGAGGGGGAAGCTTCATTCAGATAAGGATTAAGAGTCGAGAACAGTACACCGAATCGTCTGCTTTTTCTCATAATTTAATGAAACGTCAAAGCTTCCGCGCTTTGCGCGGGAGGGGGGGGGAACTGAATTCAGAAAAGGATAAACAGTCGAGCACGGCACAGCAAATCGTCTTCTTGTTTAAAATAATTTAATGAAACGTCAAAGCTTTCGCGCTTCGCGCGGGGGGGGGGGGGGGGGGAGGGGGGGGGGGAGGGACTTCATACAGCCAAGGATTACCAGTCGAAAACGGTACAATTAATCGTCTTCTTTTCCTAATAATTTAAGGAAACGTCTAAGCTTATGCGCTTCGCGCGGGAGGCTCATCACCCACACCCCACTAATGAGCGCGCTTTTAAGTGATTCTCTTGCTCACTACCGCCCCTCCCTAAAATAAGATCCTAGCTCCGCGCCTGCATTAAAATATATAGCTATGATGCTGACTAAATTGAAGAAATAATTCTTATATATTTATGTCGTCGAGGTAAATGACCATTTTGCGCATATGCAAGTACTATAGATAGTCCATAGAAAAAACAATTTAGCCTTCGACCCCAGGTTTATAGGGTTGAATTTGTAGATATTGGACATTTAATTTTGTGTAATTGGTGGCTAGTTTTGTCGGTTATTGTTGGCCTCTACACCCCCCCCCCCCCCCACTGAAAAAGGTCTAGCGACGCCCCTGGGTGTAGGTGTGTTATAACATACACCCACAAACAACCACACACGCACACACACGCACACATTTCTTTTCCAATAGTTTTGTTTTGGTATTGATTCCAATACAAACAATACAAACAATACAAATCAATCTTAGAAATAAATACACACACACTCACACACCACCCCACGTACAAACACCCACCATGTATGTATGTATGCATGTAGTAATAGTATATAATGTTCTAAGTAAGAGTTATACCAGGATGCATACAGAGAGAGAGAGAGAGAGAGAGAGAGCAAACAGATACTGAGAGAGAGGCGGGGGGGGGGGGAGGGGTAAGAGATCGATAAAAGAAAGTAAACACATAAAGAGGGAGGGAGGAAAAGGAAAAGCTAGAGAGAAGGAAGTGGATAGGAAAGAGAGAAAATGACGAGAAATTAAACTCCTAGACCTCTTTTGAAAGTCAATTTTGATTTTCAGAGTAAAACCAGTAGTAGAGGTAGGGTGGAGGGATGGTATAGGTAGGGTAGAGGGGCGGTGGAGGTAGGGTGAAGGGGTGGTAGGGGAGGAGTGGTAGAGGTAGGGTAGAGGGTGGTAGAGGTAGGGAAGAGGGGTGGTCGAGGTAGGGTGGAGGGGAGGTCGAGGTAGGATAGAGGGGTGGTAGAGGTAGGGTGGAGGGGTGGAAGAGGTAAGGTGGTGGAGGGGAGGCAGGGTGGATGGAGGAGAGGTAGGGTGGATGGAGGAGAGGTAGGGTGGATGGAGGAGAGGTAGGGTGGTTGGAGGGGAGGTAGAGGTCAGGTGGATGGAGGGGAGGTAGGGTGATGGGGGAGAGGTAGGGTGGATGAAGGAGAGGTAGAGTGGATGGAGGAGAGGTAGGGTGGATGGAGGAGAAGTAGGGTGGATGGAGGAGAGGTAGGGTGGTTGGAGGGGAGGTAGAGGTCAGGTGGATGGAGGGGAGGTAGGGTGATGGGGGAGAAGTAGGGTGATGGGGGAGAGGTAGAGTGGATGGAGGAGAGGTGGGGTGGATGGAGGAGAGGAGGAGTGGATGGAGGAGGGACAGGGTGGATGGAGGAGAGGAGGAGTGGATGGAGGAGAGGTGGGGTGGATGGAGGAGAGGTGGGGTGGATGGAGGAGAGGAAGGGTGGATGGAGGAGGGACAGGGTGGATGGAGGAGAGGAGGAGTGGATGAAGGAGGGACAGGGTGGATGGAGGAGAGGAAGGGTGGATGGAGGAGAGGTGGGGTGGATGGAGGAGAGGAAGGGTGGATGGAGGAGGGACAGGGTGGATGGAGGAGAGGAGGAGTGGATGGAGGAGAGGTAGGGTGGATGGAGGAGAGGAGGAGTGGATGGAGGAGAGGTGGGGTGGATGGAGGAGAGGAAGGGTGGATGGAGGAGGGACAGGGTGGATGGAGGAGAGGAGTGGATGAAGGAGGGACAGGGTGGATGGATGAGAGGAAGGGTGGATGGAGGAGAGGTGGGGTGGATGGAGGAGAGGAAGGGTGGATGGAGGAG